AGAGAGAGAGAGAGAGAGAGAGAGAGAGAGAGAGAGAGAGAGAGAGAGAGAGAGAAACGAAAGAAACGAAAGAAAGAGAGAAAAGGAGCAACAGTGAAAGCGGTCTCGCGAGAAGACCTCCTGTGAAAGGAGTTGTTTCCTTCGTTCCGGTGCCATTGCCGACACGGGGGTTGTTCGCAAGTACGCTTCAAGCGAAGCTGCGAACGTATCGGAAGAGAGCAAGTACATTAGCACGTACACCGGGTAGTTGTCGCTGAAACGACCGCTACTGGGATATCTGCTCTGCTATTCGGTACCACCGTGCACGAGCGAAGCGCGGTTGCTCGATGCGCCGGTGCACCACCAGCTGCAGCTGCCACCGCTGCTACTACCGCCACTGTGCTACCACTACCACCGGTGCTGCTACCGCCGCCACCGCCGCCGTCACCGCCGCCGTCGTCGTCGCCGCCGCCGCCGCCGCCGCCGCCGCCGCCGCCACCACCGCCACCACCACCACCACCATCACCACTACCACCACCAGCACCACTACTACCGCCGCCGCCGTCGCCGCCGCCGCCGTCGCTGCTGCTGCCGCTAGCAAGGCCTCGCAGAGGTGTCCACCTCGTGGCAGCCGACACTTCCTACCGGACGGTGGTAGTGTCCAGGCGCGTTGGACGCACGAGCTGTGGTAACCGGTCGGGGGAAGAACGTGCCGATGGCTGTTGGTGGTGGTCGTACCTCGTCGAGCAGGCAAGGGAAGTTGTCGAGTTAAGAGCAGAGTAAAGAAGAAGGGGTAGAAAGACGGACGTAGAAGAGAGGGTGGGCGAAAGGGACGGAGAGACAGCGAGCTCGAACCCTTCTTACCTTCCGCAGTCGACGCGTGTCATCGCTAATATAGCGTGCGCGCTTTCGTTTAGAGGGTTTCTTCCCTTCGCGCGTATAGTATCTCGTGTAATATACGCGGGATTCCTCTCGAGGCCTTCACCCTCAACGGCGCGTCACGCGTCACGGGTGCTACTACGCGACGATACTCTGGTGCGTGTGTCACGTGAAAGGAGCAGCACGCGCCAAAGCAGGGTCGTCGTCCTACGGCGGCAGCAGGCTCGCGCTCTCTCTCTTTCTCTCTCGCGTACGTCGCGAATCCGAAAACGGAGCGCATCCACGCGCGAGAACGGACTATCGTCGTCGTCATCGTCGTCGTCGTCGTCGTCGTCGCCGCCTCCACCGCCGCCGCTGCTACACACACCCAGACTGCGACATTTCGCGAGGGACATTCGTGGTCCGCGGTGATAGCGCTTCCTCGTGCGTCGATACTGTCACCGGCGAGAAAAAGCGCACACGGCGACGGTGGTCAGTCGCGTGCGTATTCGACTCTTCGGAGATCGTAGAGGAAGAAAGAGAGAAGAAGACGCTGAGAAAGCTAGAGAGATAGAGAACAACGGCTCCGACGGCCCGAAGGGACAAGTCTCAGTGGTTGGTTGCTTGGTTGGTTGATTGGTGCTGCGTGTGCCGGTGGCTAGTGGTGGCCCAGCCCGTACCCAGATCGCGGTAATGCCTCGCAGCAGCGGTGCCGCCAGGTCGCACGGTGTCGCAGGCAGGAGGGACCGAGACGCAGGTACTGGCGTGGGTGTAGTCGCCGTGGGCAGGATACGTTGACGAGTGCAGCCGACCCCGGTAGCACGGCGGCCGTCGTCGCTGCTCCCGCAGGCCATGTATCGCGAGCCGGCGATCGACCGTGCCGGCGGCGGCTGCAGTGCCGGCGACCCGCGCCGGGCTAAATCACCACGTCGACGTCGCGCATCGTCCTCCGCCGCCGCATCGGCCGCCGATCTGCTCGAGAACGCGAGCGACGGCGAAGAGGAGCCCTACGGTGAAGTGGTGCAGCAGCAACAGCAGCAGCAGCAGCAGCAGCAGCAAGAGGAGGAGGAGGAGGAGAAGGCCTATGTCGTCCTCGACGTGCTCCGCCGGCGACCGTGTGCCACGAGGGTGTGCTGCGACGACGATTCTTGCTGTCGCGCCGCGCAGAGACCCGGCAGAAGACGACGCGTCTCGGGAAATGCGCTCAGGATACTCCTCGCCGTCACCGCCGCTGCCTTCCTCGCGCTTGCCGTCTCACCAGGTATGTGGGTACCTTTCACGACGCATATCCCGCCGTTACTTGCGCCAGGGGACTCTCGTCAGGTATGCGGGGGTGGGCACGGTTGAGCGCGTGAGAGTGTTCCGCTACGGAATATCGCTTTTAATTTAGCAGAGCTGCTGGGGAGGGAGGAGTTGCAGCGGCATTTGCGCGCGAATGATTGAGTCCGGTGATTTGGTGGTCGCTCGTCGCGTAGAGAAAAATATGCTGTGCATGTTATCTGTCGATGCTGTCGACAAATGATATTCAGAAAATCGAAGAAAATTATAAGACAGCTACCGCAGTTAATCGAAATTGTAATTTCGCATGGGCTAATTTTTATCAGCTATTTAGGGAATTCTGTCTCTCATCGAAGCGTGCTGAGTAACTCGTGTAATAGAGTTCAACCTTTGATGAAGTGCAGACGAGCGCCTCCTTTCTCTGGCGTTTCTCTGTCTCGTCACGCTATCAAATGGGGTCCCCCTTTTCAATTCACACGGGAAAGGTTTCCGCTGCTCTATCACCAGAATTCTTGACTAATGTGAGACTATTTGCTTTCTCCGCTCCTTTCGTCTCTTTTATCTCCCGTATAACGAACTATGTTGAAGAATCGAGGAAGGCTCTTGTCCCTCCGGCAACGTTCGGGCACCGTGCACCAGTTGAAAAGCGGTTTCGTAATGAGACGATCAAGTCGCCGCTGCCATGTTCTCTATCAGCGCAAAAATCCCCGAACACGAACGCGTACTTTAGTTACTCGCGACGGACATTATTCACGCATTATAGCCGGTTGGGTGTGTCGCCCGTTCGATTTTTCAGAGATTCCCCGACGTGGGAGTAATCTTTAAAGCCGATTTCCGCCACCGACATGCCGGCCGAATCGGCTTGCGGTACCGAATTGAATTGAATCGGAATGGAACCGCTCGGTCGCGTATCACGCGCGATCGACAGTCGCGGATTTGCCCGCGTCCGACCGGCCTCACGTTCGAAAAACGATTTCGAGGGCTACCGCACAGCGAACCCGCGTGTGTCCCGGTTTCCATGAAAATCTCGATATAAATCGACGATACGATCACCCCGGCTCGCGGACTCGACAAAAGAGCCCAAAAGGGAGAGAAGCACGGTCGGCTCGCTCGAAATGCGAGGAATAAACAGGGCGGCCTTTTATCCACGAAATAAGACAAATATTCGCGGCACGCCGCTTAGCCGCCGTGCGCCTGCAACGTGTCCACACGCGGCCACGCAGACACGTGTATTATTAAAACACCGATGGGGAGAATTCCCGAGATTCACTCGTTTCCACCACGGAGTCCCATTCGCGCGCCGTCCCCTTGGCGAAATAAACTGTACCCGAGATATGGAGATCCCGATGGTGCGCGCGCGCGCGCGCGCAAAAGGATAACTTGGCAGCGTCAGCTAAATCTTAGTTGCTGATTCGAATTTAGCTGATAGGCTAACCGTGTCGCTGCCACTGCTGAGAACATTTTGCTTCTCAAATATAGCGGTGGAAAGTTCATCATTTATAGCGATACTCGAAATTCATATGTACATGTAAACTGATACACAAATAAAGCCCTCATGAGAAAAATAAAAAATAATTATTTTTTCGTGTATATACATGTACTTATCTCAACTTTGTTTCAAATTAACATTTATTACGCGCGTAGATAGTGAAATAAATTTATAGAAACCTAATTTTGCTTGATAAATAGTCAATTTATGAACGGCTTTACCTTGATATACCATTAAGAATACGACATTTGGCGATAATTTACTCTAAGTAACCTAGTTTTTCTTTATTTTTAGTATTTATTGCTGTTCAACCTTATTGTTCTGTTTTTGCGGTCATGCAGTGTAATGTTTTGTATTATTTGATCCCCCCCCAAAAGAGGAAAAAATTCCCATTTACTTAATATAATAATATAAGTTATAAAAACACACATTTTTAAAACATGAGTAGCGAAGAAGGTGGCAATCATTTCTGAGTATCTCATCATATATATGTGAACCAACGTCATTTGTTTCTGCGAATAAATCTCGCTATAGCGCCTAAACAGCTGATAAATTGAGCTTCGATAACAACGACATCAGTTGCCCCCATTTCAAAGAAACATCTTAGCTGTCACGGCTACGTCTTGGCTCTTTCTGCCGATCTTTCCTCTGCGTGCGCCGTCACGCGACTCGAATATTTTCGACTGGATTTTCCGCGGCTGTTATGTTTAATTAACGGAACGTCCGCGAAGCGCCGCGATATATCTCCCCCAATCAATTTTTGAGCTCGGCGCGCCTGACGCGCGAGTGAATCGACGACGATCGCATGACGCATTGCGTCAAAATTCATTCGTGTCGTGTGAAACCGTTGCTGTGATGCGAGTGCCTCGATAAAATCTCGATTTCCATTCGATGACGAGGGGACGGGAAGTCGAATGATCCTGAAAACTTTCGGCACGTTTCAACGTTTCCAAGAGATACCGTTAGTCCTCGACTGTTGAGAAATTTCGCTAACTCGCCATATGGGAATCGCAGCGCGAATCAAAAGTGAAATTCTTTCCTGATACTTTCGTTATAACTACCATCGAAGAATTGAAATCGAGCGCTGAAGCTCACATGGTAGATAAGAATATGTCATTTCATAGATCAGAGCAGACGATACCACCCAGACAGTGCATGAGCGGTATCTATTGGACGGAGAGGAAGAGAGAGAGAGACAGAAAGCGAACGTCTCTTTCGCACTTTCCGCACTTTTCAAATGCGTCGATTGATACAGATCGTTATTATATTAGATTGTTGAATCGTCGTGTCGCGATCGTTGAGTATGCGCTGTGGCGGCTGCTTCGCACACAATGCGCGCCATATTTATTGGCTATAAATTACAGTTGGTCCGTAATTTGCCACCCGTGAGCGTAATGACGCGACGTCATATAAATCACGAGACGCAGGCACGGTCTCGCGGCAAGTCGCGAGGCGATGTGCCGAAGTGATTTGCACTCTATAATGATTCATAATTGGCAATTCAAGAGCTGTAACGCGGATTAATATCACGCGCGGTCGCTCACACGGCAGAGAGACGTATTAACAAGCCGCACTCGGTCAACTGCCATTACTCGCACTATTTTTGCTTACAACCCTCGCTCGACCCTCTCACTTTTCCCTATGTGGAGAAATTTCTTCGTCCGAAATTTGGTCGCCTCAAATTCACTGAGTTTTCGTAGAAAACTAAAGTGAACTAAAATAGACTCTGTCTCTTTTAATAACGCAATAAATACTTGGAGAGAATATTATAGTTGCCTCCTTTTCACATAAGTTCTTAGTAGTCTTGGAATAGATCATTAGTAAGATCTATCTTACTAAGGAGCATAGTAAATTTCGCAAGAAACACAGCAAGTGGCTTAATAGCACATTTCCGTTCCTAAAATACAAGTAGCATATATGTAACAAAAGGATAGTGAATCATTGCGGAATGTCGATCTATTCTTCGGGGTCACAAAATTCTATACAGCAATTTTTATTATAAAATTCTCTTCGTGCAGAATGAATTATCTCTTTTGTTCCCATCTCCCTTAATCGGAGATCTGCGAAAGTTATCATTTTTACACTGATCGTGACGTGTCTGTCCGTCTGTTGATATTTTTTTCTGAAATATTATACAACGAAGGGGTTTGTCCCCGTTAATAAAGATTATTATTCTCAGAAAGGGATGGTCAAAAACCAAGGTGATTACTCGATTAGATGAAGAGAAAGAACTCGTCTTTCTCGGCACCGTCAAAGGCTCACCGAAGTGGCTCATTAGAGCTCTCTCGCGACCGCATTCGATCTCGCTAATCAGGTGAGATTTTTCGGCGGGTCGCGCGCGTATCGCTCATGCATGCGGCCGCATGCACCCCCGCGGTTCGATCGTTAATTATACCTGCTCCTCTTTCTCCCTCCCCCGGCGGCCGCCCCCGCCCGTTGCGCGCGCGCTCGTCTATTTATCCCGACAACGCATAAATATCCCCGCGAGACGACAATCAAAGGGGACTGCGGAGTAATCCCGAGGGCGACGCGCATTACTCCTACCTGATGCGCCATTAAAACGTCGTCGATGCACTTAAAACGTGAGTAAGAACTCTCCTCGTCTCTGTAGCACCGGCGTGTTTCCTCCTCCCCCCCTCCCCCTGCGCCGCCCGTTCGCCCCCCGACGCTCTATCGTTGTCTCGCTCGCGTGCACTCTCCCGCACTCGCGCCATCCTCCTCCGTGGCCCCGCTCGCTCGATCTGCTCAGAACGTGGCGTGTGGCCCGTAGACATCGTCGAGCCGCACCCACGCACGCTATTTATCTCGTCGTCTGCCGAAGCCGAGTGCCAAGAGAATATTTTTTCGCATGCTGCCCCTCAACTCCCTCTCTTTCTCTCTTCTGCCCCCTGCCCTTGCCCCTCACTTCATCTCACTTCATCGCTCTGGTTAACCGAGTCCGGATCCTCGGACCCCTTGGTCTTCGCCCTCCTACGCTATGCTCCATCACAGTCGCTCCTCTTCTCACTCCTAATGTTCGTCTTGTTGCGTTACGAGGAAGCAGATGATGGGCCACGCGACGGAATCGTATCGAGGAGAACTTGTGATGCCACACTTCTTAAATTTAGATACTTTCTAAGAGCTATCGGGGGGACTCTCCATCGACTAACTGCTGTTAACCGAGCCGGGGTCGCACGGTGACGAGAAAGAGAGAGAGATAGAGACAAGATTGGATGGAGTTGCGGTGAAGTAGAGATTCGGTCCAATAAAAAATTCAATGAGCCCTTTACGTTGCGGCGCTGACAAACGAACGAGTACCCTTGATCAAAGAGCTAATTGAATCTCGAAGATCGCGAAGCCGCTGATCTCCCGCGCTCTCTCGCTGCCACTCATCGTAAAAATATCGCGCGACCGCGGAGTATAGCGGAGACACGATCTAGAGCCGCGAGAAATCTCTCTTTCTCTCTCGGGTCGCCGTCAAATTAGCATCACCATACGCGCGAGACGCACCGTTT